TCAGGAATTCAGGCCAGCAGAGGACACTCGTGCTGTAGTTTGAAAGCTCAGACTTGGCAGGGTCCTCCCAGCTCCTCCCAGTTCAGGGCAGGCACTGGATCCACTCTGCAGTTTCTCCCAGGAGGGAAGAGCAGCAGGGCTGCATGGCCAGATCCTCCCCAGAGTGGGGAGGCTGAGGAAGGAGAGGCAGGATGAGCCTTCCTCAGCCAGGATTTGGGCTGGATCAGACACCCAACTAAATTCAAATCCCACCTGGAACAGCCACAGGAATTAGCTTTTCCAAAGCCAGGTTGGACAGGGCTCAGAGCAACCTGGGGTAGTGGAAGGTGTCCTGGGGTAGTGGAAGGTGTCCCTGCTCCATCAGCCCCAAAATCCCTTCCAACCCCATCCACTGTGGGATTCTGGCATTGCAAGGGGGATTCAGGTGTTTCCAGAGGTTTCCAGGGAACACCCTGGGACTCACCTGCGCTTGAGCTTCTCGGCCAGCTCGTCCAGGATCTGCACTGCCTGCCTGTGGTAGTCCAGCTGGGCATCCACCAGGGCTGACAGCTGGCTCACCTGCTCGATCTGGGCAACACGGGGCTGGCATCAGCACCTGCTCCCAGCTGGGCACTCCTGCACTGCCCACGAGGAGCTTTGGGATTGGGCTGAGACAGTTTCCCACCACTCTGGGTATCCCAAACCCTTCCCAGCTGTGTTACCTCCCCCCACCACCCCGAGAGGAGCGTGTTTGGTGCCAGGCACAGGCTCTGCTCTGGCCAAGAGCTGGGTCAGGGGCTGAACAAAGCCTGTCACTCAGATCTGGGCTTTCCCAGAGCACTTGGGAAGAGAGGAGTGGGAATTGGTGTGTAATCAGTGCCTCCCTCAGGAGATCCCACCCCAGGGACACAGAACCCCCCCGGCTCTGCTCTCCCACACTCACATCTGTCTCCAGGAGGTTGTGCATGCTGGTCTCTGCCACTTCCTTGGACTCCTCAAACTTCTCCATGGCCTGCCGGAGCTCCTCGTCAGGGATCTTGCCCTGCCGCTTCTTCTTGTAGTCGAAGTCCAGGCGCCTCCCTTCCAGCTTCTTGAGATGGTGCTGGGGGAGGATGGAGAGAACAGGGAGAGGGAGAAGCCAGAACCTTGGGAGGGCAGCTCCAGTTACAGGCTGAGTTCATTGGTGTCAGAAACCCGACCTCCTGTGGCTCCCACCTTCGCTCCAGGTGGGAGAGAGGCCCCAGGGTGTGATGGGGGAATGATTCCAGACCCTTTCCACTGAGGAAAAGGCTGCAGAGCGGCCCAGGTCTGCTCCCCACAAAGCTCTTTGGGAAGGTGAGGAGCTGTCCTGCTCCTTTCAGCTCCCCAGGAGCTGCAGAGATCTCTGGACAGCGGGAATGTGGGTTCTGGGCACTGCACTCCTGGATCTTAGGGCAGGATGGAAATGGGTAGAGACAGGCACTGAGGCAGCACTTGGTGGTTATTTCACCCAGGACAGCTGTGAAAACTCCCTCAGGAGACTGGCCTGGGAAACTGGAGGTTGGGATGGATCCTGTTCCAAGGCCTGCACTTGCCTGTGTGTAGCACACAGGAGCTGCTGAGCTCCCTGTTCTCCCAGTGGGACCCCAGAGGGATCCCTGGGATGCTGAGCAGAGACCTGAGGGGAGCTTGTTCAGAGCTTGGAGCCCAAATTTATCCCATCTGGGAGCTCACAGCATTAAAAACCCATTTCAGCAAGCCCAGAAGGGATGTTGGGGTGTATCCCCATGGCACCCTCCATCACACACGGCAAATGGAGAACCATTCCAACCTCCACGCAGCCTTTTGGGCTGCTCAGGAGCAGCAGGAGCAGCGCTGAGCAGGGAGGAAATACCAGAGAGTCTGGAGGGAGAAAACACACACAGTGCAGGGAATTCCTGCCAGCCCCTGGTTCCCAGCACTCCAGAGCAGGCAGCTCCGTTCCCAAAGAGCCCAGAGAGCAGGGAGATGAGAGAAAACCACGGGGGTGTTTACCTGGATCTCTTTCAGGTCCTTGTCACACAGGTTCTGCAGGGGATCAATGAAGTTCTGCTTGACCTCAATGTCCAGCGAGTCCTTCACCTCCGCCAGGCGTTTCATGGATTCTCCAGCGTCCAGGAGCGCGTCCCCTGCAGGGAAAGGGAGAGGGAGAAGGGAATTAAACAGAGCCCGAGGCCCAGGGATCTGCCTCAGACCTCTTCCTTCTTCCTCCTCAGCAGGAAGCCCTGGTGGGTCCCAGAATTGTGGAGTTGGAAGGTCCCTAAAGTCCATCCAGCCCCACCTTGAACAGTCCCAGGTTGCTCCAAGCCGGCCTTGGACAGTCCCAGATTTGAATTCTCTCAAAACCTGTTCAGCTCCATCCTTTTCTAAGGCTCTGGCCACTCTGACACTTAAGCCAGCAAAGCATATTCAGTGCTGGCTTTTTAGTGCAGAGGAAACATTTAGAGATGAAATTATTCCTGTGCAGCATTGGCAAAACAACAATTTCAGCAGTGCACGAACACAGGAAAATACATGAGTGAGAGAGAGAGTCAAGGGAGAACATCTCTCCACTGTCCAGCTGGAAAAATCAATAGAACAGAAGTGATATTTCACTTATAATAACTGAAAAACCTGGAAGGGAGGGATGGAGTCCTCAATGCTGCTTTAAGGAGGCCATTAAGGAAATAGAGTTCGGTGTGCTCTCCTAAAAGCTGCCTTCCCTTGTTGTCCCTGTGAGCCAGGATTGATGCAGAGCTCTGAGCTGGCCAGGGAGGAGCTCCAAAATCCTCTGTCAGCCCCAAAAGCAGCCAGAGGTTTTTAATTTTCCTGAGGCAAGGCAGCTCCTCCCTGCCCTGGCAGAGCCAGCTGTGCTGCCAGGGGGCCGAGGTTCCAGGGGATTAAAACTGATGTCACCAAAAGGCTTCACCCCCTCCTCCCTGCCAGTCACACGTGGCTCCAAGGAACAGCCAGAAGATTTCTTGGCTTTCAGCCTCACAGTGGAATCACAGCAAGGTTTGGGTTGGAAGTGATCCTTAAGAGCTCTGTGAAACTCCCAATTTTGCTCCATCCCGTTGCTGATTTTCTGCTCAGTTTGGAGGGAAGTTTTTATTTCATGTGCAAATTTATCTCGGTGTTTAATAAGAAAGTGGATTGAGATCCAGGATATCTGGGATCACAGAATAACAGAATGGTTTGGGATGGAAGGAGCTTAAAAGATCATCCAGTCCCACTTTCCACTATCCCAGGCTGTTCCAGCCTGGCCTGGGACACTTCCAGGGATTCAGGGGCAGCTGCAGCTGCTCTGGGCACCCTGTGCCAGGGCCTCACCCTCCTCACAGGCAGGAATTTTTTCCAATATCCCATCTAAACCACCTCTCTTTCCCTTGGAATCTGCTCACTCTGGAAGCTTCTGAACCCCTTTTAAGCCCCACACACTGTTCATTGCCACAAAGTTCACCCAAACCCTTCCAGAATTCGGAGCGTCACCTCAGAATGAATCAGGAGCCTGCCCCACTCCCCCTCCACAGTCCTGGGGGGCACTCACCGAAGTTGGAATCCTCTCCCAGCTCCTTCCCATAGCGGATCATGCACTCCCCCAGCAGCCCCTCGGACTGGGGGTACCCGGGGTTCTTCACCTGCCCACGGATCTTGGACATCGTGTTGAGCATGGTGAGCTTGGCTCTGGAAGCTGCCACACAAACACCTCAGCCTCTGCCACCTCTGCATTCCCTGCATCCCTCAGAAAGTCTTTTCCCCCCCCTTGTTACACCCAAAGCCAAGAGGCTCCGTTGTCTCCATCCCCCAGAAATATTCCTCACTTCTTTTCTGACACAGAAAGCAAAAATAGTTCCCCACTGCTTGGCCAGGGATGGCCAAAGGAGTTTCCCCAGCCCTCCCAGGGTCCCTGGAGTGCTCTCTGGAGCAGCTGGTTGGAAGGATGCAGGGCTGACAGAGCCAACCACCCCTTCCCAGCCCAGAAACACCATTTTTCCTGGACATTCTGAGAAGAACGGGTCCCCTTAGGGCCTCTCTAGCTGCATCTGTTCTATCCCTGCTCAGCAGCCTGGATTCAGGGAAGGAGGGGTACCAAGATCTTCACCTGATCCAAATCTGGAGCAAAAGGGATCTCCCTGATCTCCCTGTTTCCCTGGAAAGCTGGGAAGGGGACAGGGGAGGTGCAGGTCCTCACCTGGGTTGGGCTGGAGGTACTCTATGGTTCTGGTCAGTACTTCTGTCACAGCCTTGCTGGTCACGTCCACTTTCTGCAGGAGACACAAGAACCCACTGAGGATCAACTCAGGGATTCAGCCAATCCCACAGGAGCCACGGGGTGGTTTTGGGGATTCCCCTGGTTCCCCACTTGTGGGAATCCAGGGCTTCCCTCTGGCTGCCCTGGGACCCTGGCAGGGGTCAGGAACCCCCCTGGACAGAGCCCCCAGAGACACTGGCTGTGATCTCTGTTCATGGAAAAGAGTTTTCAATCTTACAGGATGAATTACCAGCTCTGAGTGTTTGATATCAGTAATAATTAAGTGTGGCACGGGTGCAAAAGTAAAATTTTAGATTTCTAGATTAGGGGTCCAAAGGGGACAAGATGGAGGAAATTGGGTGTGCCTTGTCCTTTTCCTCCTTCTTCATGCCCTCCATGTTTCACTGTGGTGTTGGCATTTTTCTGTTGGTTCAGGCTGGGGACACACTGTCCAACGTAGGTGACAGATATTGGCACGTTATTGTAAATCCAGCACAGGGAGTTTGTGGTATTTAATGTTTGTACCATCCCACTGAGGGCAGAGCCCCACACGCTGCCCTGCAGGACAGAGCTGCGGCAGGGCAGCAGAACATGTTAGAGATAAACAGAATAAACAACCTTGAAACCAGCACAGACCAATTATGGCTTCTGCTTTGGCAGTGGGCTGACAGACAGAGACTTTCTACAATTTTGGGATCATCAATACCTCAGATTCCGACACCCACTCACTTTTTCCATCTCCTTGAAGTCATCGTCCAGCTTGGTCCCTTCGGCCCCTCCGACCTTCTCGCTGACCAGCTGTGGAGAAAGGACAAGGGAGGGGGATCAGGCACTGATTGAACCTTCCCACCTCAAGGAGGAATTCCTTGGGAGAGAATGGCAGCAGGGACGGTCCACACAGCACCTGCAAGAGAAAGGAGGCGGCAGGAACAGCCCAAAGCCACTCAAAAAAACCCCACTAAAGCCCCAAACATCCCCGAGCACCCAAAGCTTGGCTCAGTCGGGATGTTCCTCACCCACCAGGAGCTCCACAGCTCCCTAAAATCCCAGCCCACGGCTCCAACTCCAACGCCTGCTGGAAAAAAACAAGCAGCACAAACGTCTCTCAGCTCCATTTGGAGCCAAGGACTGAGTTTCACACACGGCAAAATCCAAGTAAACAGGGAATGAACATGCTCAGCTCCCAGCAGGCAGCACAGAACAGCCCGGGGAGAGCACAGCCACCACTCTGGAACCGCTGGAGCAGCTCAGGGGCTGGAATTCTTTGTCAGAGATGTTTGACAAGCTGGGAAGTCAAGGCTCATTTCATGGGAAAGCCTCAGCAGCTTCTTGAGGGGATCCTTCAGTGCAAGAACAGCCGCAGACCCTGATCTGCAGTGTTCCCTGCCCAGGGGTGACCAACTGTGGGAATCCAGAGCTTCCCTCTGGCTGCCCTGGCAGGTCTGGGACCCTGGCAGGGGTCAGGAACCCCCCTGGACAGAGCCCCCAGAGACACTGTCTGTGATCTCTGTCCATGGAAAAGAGTTTTCAATCTTACAGGATGAATTACCAGCTCTGAGTGTTTGATATCAATAATAATTAAGTGTGGCACGGGTGCAAAAGTAAAATTTCAGGATTCTAGATTAGGGGTCCAAAGGGGACAGGATGGAGGAAATTGGGTGTGCCTTGTCCTTTTTCTCCTTCTTCATGCCCTCCATGTTTCACTGTGGTGTTGGCATTTTTCTGTTGGTTCAGGCTGGGGACACACTGTCCAACGTAGGTGACAGATATTGGCACGTTATTGTAAATCCAGCACAGGGAGTTTGTGGTATTTAATGTTTGTACCATCCCACTGAGGGCAGAGCCCCACACGCTGCCCTGCAGGACAGAGCTGCAGCAGGGCAGCAGAACATGTTGGAGATAAACAGAATAAACAACCTTGAAACAGCACAGACCAATTATGGCTTCTGCTTTGGCAGTGGGGCTGACAGACAGAGACTTTTACAATCTCAGAATCATCAATACCTCAGATTCTGACAACCAATGGCCCCAGTAACCCACCCCAAAGTGTCCTTCCCTGCAGCCCAGGCAGGGCAATGTTCCCTTCCCAGCCCCTGCACTGCCTGGGGATGCAGGACATGGGAACTGCCCAAAATTGGAGTCATGGCTGAGGTTGGAGAAGCCCTCCAAGATCACAGAGTCTGACCATGTCCACCTCTAAGCCATGTCCCCAAGTGCCACATCCGGGTGTTTTTTGGACACCTCCAGGGGTGGGGACTCCAGCACTGCTCTGGGCAGCTGTGCCAATGCCTGGCCACCCTTTCCATGAACAAATTTTCCCTGATTTCCAATCTAAACCTTCCCTGGTGCAACTTGAGGCTGTTTCCCCTTGTCCTGCTGTTCCCTGAGAGCAGAGCCCGACCCACACCTGGCTCCACCCTCCTGTCAGGGAGTTGTGGGGAGCCATTAGTGATTAATTTGCCCCAAACAACAGCAAATTCCCCATCCAGACATCCAAAGTGGCCTGGGAAAGCTGGCACTGGCTCCCAGGGTTCCACGGCTGCCCCGGGGCATCGCCAGGATTCCTCCTGCTTGTGCTGAAAACTCCAGATCTGAAGGAACAATCGGGTTTGTTTACTTCAACATCAAATATTTGATTTTTATCGAGGCTTTCTTCCTCTGGAACACTCCTGCTCCCGTGAGGATACAAAATGGGACTGGATGTTTTCTGAGGAAGAGGGATCCCTTTAGGGAATTATCCAGGTTCAGAAGCACCTGGAGACACCAAATCAGGGGAAGGGAAGGGAAGGGAAGGGAAGGGAAGGGAAGGGAAGGGAAGGGAAGGGAAGGGAAGGGAAGGGAAGGGAAGGGAAGGGAAGGGAAGGGAAGGGAAGGGAAGGGAAGGGAAGGGAAGGGAAGGGAAGGGAAGGGAAGGGAAGGGAAGGGAAGGGAAGGGAAGGGAAGGGAAGGGAAGGGAAGGGAAGGGAAGGGAAGGGAAGGGAAGGGAAGGGAAGGGAAGGGAAGGGAAGGGAAGGGAAGGGAAGGGAAGGGAAGGGAAGGGAAGGGAAGGGAAGGGAAGGGAAGGGAAGGGAAGGAAAACGAGAGATGAAAGGAAGGAAAGCTCTCCTGGTTCACCCAGCTCTGGCTTTCTCTCTCCTACTTTAACCCTCTGATAAGGGACATGGGACACAGCCAGAGTGAACCAGGCTGGGCAATCTCTGCTCCTTGCTCCTCAATCCCTGCTCCCTGCTCCCCATTCCCTGCTCTCAGCCCTTGCTGTCATTTCCTGCTCCCATTCCCTGCTCCCCATTCCCTGCTCCTGTGCAGCCCTCGGAAGCAGCTCCAGGGGACAGATCCCATCCCCCCCAGCAGATGGAGAACCCCATCCCAGTGGGATTTCCTGCTTTCCTTGGACACCAGGGGTGCCAGCACACACCCCAGCCCCGAGCTGGCCAGGCACACTTCTCTCTGGAGCCTGGAAAACACCCCAGGAGCAGCTGCCAGGCCTGCTAGGACAAGCTCAGCAGGGCACAGCTCTGCCCCAGCTGCCAGCCCCTGTCCCCTGCCAAGAATCCCACAGCCAGGACGGGATCCCTCCCACCAAGCTGGCACCCCCAGAAGCCTGCTCTGTTCCCTAACACACCTGGGAAGGGTGCAGCCATCCCAAGCAGTTCCAATCCCACTTTTCTCCCTGGATTTGTGGCTTGGGAAGCTGTAAATAACCCCTGCCAGGACTCTGCTCCGAGGGGCCTGCCTGCCAGGCTGGCAGAATCCATCCCCACAGCAATTCCGGAGGCTCCACACCCTCTGGAGAGCCCAGGGAAGTGAAGGAAGCAAAACCCCCTCATTTCCAGACTAATTTAATCCTCCTTTTGACGTCCAAGAAGTGCTGCTGCTGCCCTGCTGGGAGGGAATAATAAGATTGAGGTTCTCTCCCTGCTGGCTCTAATTGAACTGGGAGGCGTCAGCAGGGGAGGGAAGGAGGAGGGAATCCACCCCCACACCCCCCAAACCCGTCAGGAAGGGAGACAAACCAACACAGATCCCTCCAAACACGAGCCTGGAGGAGCTGTCAGCAGCTCCTGGTTTAACCTGGAGCCTCACCAATGCTCAGGGAGCCGAATTTCCAACGTGCCCCATTGTGCATCCCCATCGTGCTGCCCCCAAAGGGCCTGGGAGGGATGGGAAGGGGGTGCCTGCCTTCCCCTGACCTCTCCAGGATGGAAGGAAGGAAGGAAGGAAGGGTTTATCCACACATTGTTTGGCCTAAGGGAACTGCAAGGCACTTGGAGGAATGCTGGCGCTGCAGATTCCAGCAGCCCTTCCCCCAGGAAGCAGCCATGGGGCTTTTTGGAGGATGTGCTGACAGTTCTTCTGCATTTTGATTTCTTGAGCAGCCAGGAGAAGGTTTGGGATTAATCCCTGTTCCCTTGGCTGGGATCTCACCTCTCCTGAAGCCAGACTGGGAAAGGATGGTGAGAGCAGACATGGAAATGGTTAAAAACCAAACCAAACCAAACCAAACCAAACCAAACCAAACCAAACCAAACCAAACCAAACATTCCCTGGGAGTGGAAGAGCACAACAAGTCTGGCCTCCCTGGGTTCTGGACGGGGAAACATCCAAGGGGTTCACCCTGGGAGCAGCAAGAGCCTTTGGCCAAACACTTCCCAGAGCAAATATTGGCCCAGGGCGCTGCAGCTGGCACGGCCTGGGCAGATACAATCTGTGCCACTTGGCTGCTCCTGGCAGATATTCCACCTGGAATTCCACCCACAGGGAGGTGAGAGGTGAGGGAGCCTGTGCTGTGACACCAGCTGAGGAGGCAGGAGCACACCCCTCACTCCCAGCTGGGTTTAATTAAAAGGACACAGCCCAAATGTGCCCCAGAGAGCTCCAGCCTGGGGTGGGGGTACAGGGAGGTGCCTCAGGTTCCTGGGAGCTCAGCGTCCAGCCAGGCTCATCACCAGGAGAGCTCATCCAGAGGGATTGGACACAGCCCTTCTCCACCCAAGGCTGCTCCAGCCATGCTCCACAGCTTCAGTTTGGAGATCACAGGGGATTCCTTGGCAGATTCCTTGGCAGATTCCTTGGCAGGGCTCATCCAGGGGGATTGGACACAGCCTCTCTCCACCCAAGGTTCCTCTAGCCACGCTCCACAGCTTCATTTTGGAGCTTCATTTTGGGGGATTCCTTCAGATTCCTGCAGATTCTTCGGCAGGGCTCATCCAGAAGGACTGGACACAGCCTCTCTCCACCCAAAGCTGCTCCACCACAGCTTCATTTTGGAGCTCACAGGGAATTCCTTCAGATTCCCTGGCAGATTCCTTGGCAGGGCTCACCCAGGGGGATTGGACACAGCCTCTCTCCACCCAGAGCTGCTCCAACCACGCTCCACATTTTGGAGGATTCCTTCAGATTCCTTGGCAGGGGCGTGGGAATGGCAACAATCCCGACTTCCCCTTGTGGGGGAAGATGTCAGGAATGAAAGAGCTGCTGTTGGAAGGAGCCAGGGTGGCCAGGGGAGAGGCAGGAATGGTGTGTGTGCATGGAAAAGGGCAAGGAGGGATGCCCAGGGATTCTCCTGGCAGCTGGACTGGGGAAGGAAGGTGGGAATGCTGCACAGCTGCTCACAGCTCCCAGGAGTCTGGCTGGGTAAATTCAGGAGCATGGAAGGTTAGGAGGGATTTTGGGAGCAGAGCTGGGCAGTCCCAGCTGGGGAATTGCTGCAACATTTCAGGTGGAGAGAACAAAAGGTGATTTTTGAGCTGCACCATCAGCAAAATTCCTGATAAACCTGGGAAGGTGCCAGCAGCCAA